ATATACATTGGAACTATGACATGTATTCGCACTAATTTTCAGCCATTCCAAGTCGCATTTGATTTGACTTGACTTGGCTCTGAAACGCTCACCTCACCTCTTTTTCAGGGCTGGTGGGGGACACGATAAACGGCTAAAGACGTCAAGATGCCGTGAAAATGGAGTCTAAAATAACGATCCTTTCTCCTCTGTTAAAAGTCTTGAGAAGGAAATACTACCAATCAAGATTCAGCAAGCCCCGTAGAAGGATGAAGTCGAGGGTTGGCAATTACGATAGATTCATGCTGTCCCGGTCGTGCAAGAAACTTTGTGCAGTGGGCACATCTGATTAATTCAAATCTCCAGGTGGCATTCACGATATCAATCATTATGTTAATCGAACTTGCTTTTGATTGAATGGATTCGCCTACCCAAACGGAAAAAGTGAAGATGAAGATAACACTACTCGCTAATCGCTGCTGACCGTAACTTTTTGTCGTAAAACTGATAAAATAAGCTGCTCCAAGTAGGGAATGAAGTTAATCACTTGGCCAATGGTTCAGTGGCCATCAGCGAGGGGCTTAAGTCCCTCTTTGAGCTGTAGGTGAGGATTCAAATCTCAACTGCAGCGAAAAAAATCTAAGAGTTGTGTCATAACTCATAACACTCCCTTGATCTAGTTGAGTTTGTATACTTACTAACCCCCTACCACAGGCTCTTTAGGCTCCCCCTCCTCCCTGGATTAGGATAGAGTAGGTGCCTATGAAGATAGTGGAGCAGTCAGTAGAAACATTGTAGGGGATGCATGGACATCTACACTAATTATTCATTAATTTTATAACATTTTTAGGTCTGTTTAATGGGTGTCTACTAGGCACTCGTTAAGATATACCTAATATGTATACATGCAAGAGAAGGTAATAATTGTTAGTACGTGTATATACCTAATATGTTAGGTAAAATTTCATTATATTAACGAGTGATAAGTGTCCAATAGACCTCCGCTAGAAAAAATTCACATTTTTATTTTTTATATTCGTTTATCATTATCGCTACAGGGTTCTCTGGGCGCCAGGCCAAAATTCGGCCGCAATTTTTTTTTTTTCTCATCTTTGACCATTGTTACTTCGTTTTTGTGGGTATGATGTTTCCATGTATATACAAGAGAACAATCAGCTTGTCGGGTGGTTTTTTTAAAAAAAAAAAGCGTAAATTTTGATAATGTCTTTTGTCCGTCATGAGGACAAAAAAGGGACAAAAAATTGGCATATGCCGGATAAGTACCAAAGATTCTACGACGGAGGATGGCGTGTACAATCAAGGAGGCGTAGTTCAAGTTCTGATTCGTCACTTCATTACATATTTTCGGGTCTTCTAACTTTTACCCTTGATTAAGTGTTGTTTGGATCACAATTTTCTAACAAAAGCCTATATATTTTTTAATTATTTTTTTATTTTAGATGCATTAAATTGATACAGTACATGTTTTTATAAAAATTTTAAAAAATAAAAAATTTTAAACCGGGTAAGTTTCTTATCTTACTTGACCTTGGGGTAATTAAAGAGTAGGGCCGCGTGGAAGGAATTCATGCGAAGAACAAAAGCAGTCATTTTTTTTTTCTTTTTTAGAAGGTGAAAACTTGAAATGTTTTTAATTTTTATTGTAAACAAAGTCAACTATGTAGTAAACACAAATTCATACAGCAAGATAGATTCAAGGGTCAGAATTGTTACTTCTTGTGGCGAGCTTTTCGACACGTTCAGAATTGATAAAAAGGTCGCCGCAAGAGTAGTTGAGGCCCCCGATATTGTCCTGGAATCAAACCCCCCTTTTTCCCATTCCACTTGTTAAATTCCATTCCACTCCTCTCTCGCTAGAAAAAAAAATTTAAAAAAATAGCCGCAAGAGTAGTTGGCACTCGAGATGATCTTGCAACACTTGGAGTTGTCTTAACCTCGGAGGCATGCATATAATGGAAGCTGAGATTTCACCGACTTTCCAATAAAGGGCGATCATGCTGACATACTAGTCCACGCTGACTTCGGGTTAGTGTTTTTTTTTTTTTTGCATGTTTTTAAAAATTTGTTACCATTGTAAAATAACAGATGCCATATTAAGTGTTATTGTTAAATGTGTTAAAAAGTCGTTCATTTCTTTTTGACTTCATTAAAGATCCACATATATATATATATATATATATATGTGTGTGTGTACGAGGTATGCTATATATTGCTTCTATCTTACGGTCTTGTTTGGATTGTAATTTTTCACAGAATTTTTTTTTTTATATTTTTAGTGAACACATTTTTCAATCACTTTTTTACTTTATATATATATCAAATTGTTACAGTATATTTTTCTATACAAGAATTTTCAGAAACTGTTATATGCTTGAATTTCCTGTGCTGTACCTACTTGTTCAATCGCTTTCAAACTAATCGGATTGTGAGAACATAGTGCGTTCTAAAATGAACTCAATTGAGTAGTACCATTTTGACTCGGTCCCCATTTTACCAAATTAAAGCTCCAAATGTGCTAGCTAGTGATCGTATAGCAAAGGGAAACAAAGACTTCAGGGCCAAAAAAAGTCGACGCCGTCCCATGCATGCCCAGTGAGATGTGTATAGTACAGAACGAATTCCTGCGGTGTAGGTTGTTGAGATTGTCAGGACGCCAAACCTGACAAAGTATTTTTGAGTGACTTTGAAGTCAGAAATTATGGGTTTCTCCAGTAGGGTTTGGAGTTGTTATAGTGACAGATTTGGGAAGAAGCTGCAGTACGCTACTAATTCTACTTTTATGGCTTAGCAACAAGCGAGATGATTTAGTCGCGAATGTCAACGTTGAAACTCTAGGATTCAGAGGCTTTGTTTTCAAGTCTCGCAATTTGTTTTGGATGAGTAGTAGTTTGAATAAGGTGTAATTTATGTGGTTGATTCTATAATTGTGGATCATATATAATCTTGTTAAAAATACGACAGGGTTTGAGTCACTTTTGTAATCCCTTTACCCAACCAAACAATTTTGAAAAAAAAGTCATAAATTTTAGAAAAGTTTTCATTACACATAACAAGAGAAACAACCGAGAAACAACCTCAAAACTGAAGCATTCAACTGAAAATGATCTGATGATATGTTGAGAAGTCACTCAACATACAGATTTGTCAAACTCTAGGTTTTTTTTTCAACAATAGACATTTACAGGGGAAAAGTTAAACTACGCTCAGGCACACCAAACTCCAGGTTGTCAACTATAAATTATATGCTTATCCTTTTACATTTATATGCTTTTTATTATTTTGCCTCCTAGTAGTGGTTTATCATCACTTTGCCCTTTCTTAAACTTTGGGGAACAAAGATGAGTCACACTTTTCTTTTCATTTGCCTTTTGTTCCCTTTGTTTCTCTTTCTGTCCTAATAAAGTACAACACGATGCTATAATAAAGCTTCAAAGTAATCTTTCTAATGGACAAGTACAATAATGATGGGGTGCAGTAAATTAGACTTTTCTATGCAAAAAAGACTAGTAGGAAAAAAAAATACCAATTTCTTTTGGAAAGATAATAATAGATAACCCATTGCAATACAAAAACTAAATTATTATGCAACATATATTGCTTGTATCTTGGAGGCACATGTAGTTGAATATATAATTACTAGAATTTATACATGCTATAGCTCATGATCAATGCACTATTCCTCGAAAAATATTACATATCACTCATGATCTTTTTTTTGTTCTGAATGAAAAATGTTGGTCATCTCACACCTAACAAAATCGTTCCAAAAAGAAAGGTGAAATGTACCAAAAACACACATGCCCAGCAGTCAAATTATAAGTGCACTGTTTATATCTGGTCCACAAAGCTCATTTGTCAAGTCCTCTAGAGTTTAACCACCATCATGCTTTTAACTTCTTGTGAAAATACACGATGTCTGCAAACAAACTACTACTACTATTTGTGATCATTGTGATGATGGGCAGAGAAGGATTTGACTTCACAATGGACCAGAAGTGACATGGGAAATTCGCAGCACTCCCAATTTCTACGCCCACTTGAGCGTAGCGACCAACAAAAGCGTTTACATGTCTTCAATCTCGGTGGCTATGCATTTCAAACGCCACAATTTCTTGAAATTTTTTTTTTGATATGACGATCCAGGCTTGTCACTTGTACTCGCTCCTCCAACCACCCAATTCATCCTTCTCCCTGATATACCCACTAACCCAAAAATAATTTATCTGTTATTTAATTTTCAATTTCAGCTTTGGTTGGATTACCCCGCAATTGACTCAAAACCGTCATTCAACGATGCACCCAATTCCTCTTCATTCGCTCATAAGTATCCTCTAACTCAAAAGTCAAACTGGACAAAGAAGTTGACTTATTCTCAAAAGGAAAAATAAATAAATAAATATTGAGCCATGACATAAACTGGTCAACCCCGTCCGTCTAGGTATAATTTCAATTAAGCTTTTCTAAATCTATACTTAAAGCCTAAATACATTGCCTCAAAACATCTTTAAGAGACTGTAAAGAACAAACACCGCTAATAGATTTTTTCTTTTTCTTTTTTTTTTTACTCCTCTCCAACGGTAGACTCTTAAGCATTTTAAAGGAGAAGAAATTGAGAATCAAATCAAAAATCTCACAGCCACCTGACTAACGAACTCGGTCAAAAAAATGAGATCGTTTTGCACTAATGATGTGCCTAAACTAAATACTAGATGCTACAAAAACAGGACTGAACCAAGCAGGCAAAGAATGATTCTCGGCCCAACTATCCTGTGACCCCATTTAGACCCACACCCTTTTTTCATTTTTTTTTGGGGACGAAAGCCTCAGTATCGTACTTCATGACACTTTCCCACTGAGTCAACCCGTCTCCCAGACTCTGCTCCAACTTCCTAAACACATTTGCAATTCATTTGTGGTATCCAGGCCTCCATCGCTCCTGAAACCACTTAAAAGCAACAAAAGCACTAGTGCAGATTCAGCACGAGTGCAGTAATGGAGTCTTAAAAAAAAAAACACTATTTTCTCTATTTTCCTGCGTTTTCTTTTAAACTTTCAAAGTTCTTGTAGAAATCCGGTATGACGTCATAATACAGAATGTACATCCCAATCAGAATCTATACAAAATTACAACAATGATACTACTGTCAAAGGTTGAACCACCTCCAAGGCATTCTCAAAAAGGCCGCCATGGGTACTCTCAGCAATTTGAGCTCCGGTCTCCGGAAACAAATCCAGTTACCCGACTGGGAGAAGGAGATCAGCGTTATCTGTCGATTCCGCAATTTGAGCCAATTCAGCAATTTTAAGTGCCATGGCAGCTTTGTAAGATGCCAAATCAGCATTTTCCATGAGCTGCTGAGCTCTTTGACGCTTAAGAACTGCCAACCCTTCTGACCTGTTTGCTGCAGCTTTGGCTTCTTCCACCTTCAAAACGGCATTTTGTTGTTCCTCAGCATCTTGCTCAGCCGCCATTACTGCCAGAGTCAAATTCAAAAACTCTTCAAGTCTGAATTTAAAAACTGACTTTCTTTCATGTTACAAAGCTTCAAGCGGATGCTTTTGACATCCAATTAACTCCCTTTGCAATAAAGATTTCATCCAACCCGTCAATTAAGCAGAACTACAAATTCAAAGATATGAAGCCAGCAAAACACTAGAAAAGCTAGAATTACTTCAGCAGATAAAAATTAATTTAGCTTTGTCCTCAATTAAACGCCTTAACTAAACCATACAACAAAATTGAAATGCCATCCAGGAACAACTTAAAATTAATGATGGCACGAGGACAAAGAGACCCCAAGTACAGACATTCAAGGCTGCCATGCAAATCACCTGGAGCATCTCATCTTAACCTCCAGACCCTCAAAAGGACATGCCTAATTGACTCCAAATGTAGACAGACAACTTAAAACAATCAGCAATGTTGCAAACTCAGGGTATTGCACATACACAACTTTCTGCCACTGACAAAACTCTCTAAAAGATAATAAACACAGAAAATCGCAAGTCCAAAATCTTAACTCATTGGGTTTTAAAGACTTTACACCTTTAAGAAAAGGACGCTGTTTCCCTCTTCCAATTTGGCTTCCCTGTCGTTTGAATGACCTTTTCTTGCGCAGGACAGAATTTGGTATCATTTGGGTTCTCCTTGGCTGATACAACTGCAAAGATAGAATTGGAACTTCACATAATCCACTCACTGATAACAGAGCCAAAAAAAAAAGGGAAAAAAAGGGTACAAGAGGCAGGATTCAATCAAAATAATTTATTTGCTAAAATAGAGTAACTGTAATTTTTTTTGGGTGGGAAAAAGATAGACTAATTCTACCATGATAGATTAAGAAAACACCAAAAACTTAACAAAATGATGCATAAAGTTTCTAAAGATGAAGAGAAATGCTACAAAAACATCTCACTAAATATTTTGCTAGCCATCATCATACATGTAGAAGTTACTTTTCCACTGTAAGTCGATGATAAAACCAAAATGACAACTTCCGACATACAATTCCACATTCTAATATCATATGAAAATGATATAAATAGTTTGACTACATGCTTTTATCGAAGCCTCTAATCATACCTGAAAAATCCTGATCAAGGATGCGCGTCTCTGCTTCCGTTTATTAACCCAGAAGCTGTGCACAGCCTCTAAAACACTCCTTTCCACATTCAGGCATATGTTAGGAATTGTTGTTTCATCAGAGAAATCATCTGGATTGCTGTGAAAACCTCTCTCAAAAGCATCAATTACCAACTCAAACTCCTCTGCAGACAAAAGTTTATGAAACTCATTCTTATTTAGCCACTGCTCATCATCAGAGTCCATATCATAGTTTGCTGTTCTCCTTGCTAACGCCCTACTCAGTTCATCATCTTTTACACTTATATATGTAGCAGGCCTTACATAATTGCCGCTGTTCACATAACCAGACACTTCATGCACCCCAGGAACAGGAATGAAACTCTCCACAGGAACCTGTGCATTGCGATCTGAACACTTCTTGTACAGGTCTCTGAAAATCGACCAGTTCTGCTTATCAGTGAACTCTAGCTTCCAACCACTATCCATACCCCACATCATGGCATGAGTGAAGCGATTACAATTACATGCTCTCATAAGACTCTGAGTGATGATACTGTACCTCTTCACTCCATCTCTCTTGATTGCAAGATGCCACTGTTTTTCAGCAGAAACTTCTAATGTGACAATAGCTCCTCCTTCCCTATAACACTTGTCAGAGTCTATAACCAGTATATTTGCAAAACAGCTAGTGGGATCAATATCCTGTTTCAATCCCCCCAGGGAAGACTTGACTTGTTTGATATTTGTGACAGAATGCCTGACAGTCCAACTCCTAAGCTCATGTCTTGGTGTTATTGGGGAAAGTTGATTGCTATTATGTCTAAAGCTAAGTAGATTAGAAGCCAAAGCTCCATTAGCTTTTCGGGCACCAAAAGAGGAAGGCCGTCTGCCCCTCTTTGATCTAAATGAACTTCTCTGAATGTTACGACCATTCCTCAGTTGCAGGTTTCGACCAGTTAATTTAGTAGGAGCAACATTTGACACTGACACTGACACTGACACTGACACCTCCGTCTTCCCAGAGTAATCATTTCTGGAGGCTGCCAACGCATCGGAAGCTTGGACGCTTTCAGTAAGCATGGACAGTGTTGATAAATTATCATTTTTATCATCTATACCCACTAAACATCGTTCAACAGAATACATCAGATGAGCAAAATGGAGTAGCATTCTTGAATGCAAATACATGAAACAATAAGGAACTGCAGAATAATCCACAGCAAAAACCGGTACCAAACAACTGGTACCCCATATCACGCAAACTCCACGCTCAGCAACTACATTAGAGCCCTGAGAAAATGAAATGGGTAAAGAAATTCTGAGATTTGCAGCAAGAACGAATTTAGCCAAATCAAGTACCTGAGAAACAGCAAAACAGGAAATACTACATTACCTGCAGAAAACGGATGCCACAAGAAGAGTATACAAGCGCAATTGCCTTGGAGTGAAGGAATGCAAATAGCTGCTGGATACCAACTCTTGCCTGCCTCATATACCTCAAAATAGAATTCAGAAAAGATGCAGCCATATACCAGCTACAACAGGAAGAGTCAAAAACTACCAAAAGGAAATGACCTCTGGCATTATCTAGTGATTCTTCTTGTGCCATCAAAGCCATATTTGAATCACCTGGTTCAGCCAACTCCGTCTGTATGGTTTTCTTCCTCCACTGCTTTCTAAAAAACTGCCTCCCATACCTCTTGTCATCTATGCTCCTTTTCTTATTACCATTAGCTGAAGATTCAACAAGACTAGAATCTACACACTTCCGCTTTCTTGTATATACAACTCCCCACCTCTTGCCAACATGGTTCTCTGCATCCAAACCCTCATGCAAAACTTTCTCTGGAGCAGATTTCACTACTTTTACGTCAACATCCATTCCCCTGACTTCCTGCTTAGCAGCAGCCTCATTTCCATGCCTGCCACGTTCTTTGCGTTGATTGGCACCACCTCCACCATCCCCAGAATTTTCAAGAAGCTCAATCCACTCGTCCCCATTGGCACTCTTCGTGTACTTCCCATCCCCTGTCCCTGTCCCTGTCCATAGACGCCTTCCTGATCTCAACACCCTCGCTCCGAAAACCCTGGTAGTCCTTCTCATTCCCACAGAAGGCATCGGAACGTTATTTTTACAAGGCAAAACTGAATCAATCTTCTCTCTGCACCAATTCAATGATACTTTGACCAAAATTGGCCAAAACCAAAACACTGAGCACTTTAAAGACCAAAAACCTACCTCAGTATTCTATCCCACCCAACTAAACTTGATATCCAGGATAGAATTTCAGAGTGTCACAAAGTTCAAATCTTGATACAGACTAGGTGCATGCTAAATCTTTGATATTCCAAAACCAAAACCCAACCAAGGTTTATCTTTGAACTGAAAACTAAGCAATTTCTCCACTCCAATCCAGTTTTCCAAACTCAAATCAATCATTGACCCACTCACTCCTCACTCAGTCTGAATAGGCCCACACAACTTTTAGCAGTCATAAAATCAAGAATCCGCAAAATCCAGTCATCCTAACTAAGGTCAGTCCGTATCCCCAGCCCCAACTCAGTCACGGACTCATCCGACCCAGATCAATCGTCAAAGCTACCCCGTAGTATAAGAAGGGTGGGGGGGACCCGTAAACCCGTTCAATTAATGCTCTTCCCCAGCCAAACTCGGTCAAGAACCCCCAAGACTCGGTTACAAACCCGGTCTAACTCGTCCCAAACACCAAGATACTTCACTGCATGAGGGTCTTCACCACCGCCAAAAACCACACAAAACCCAGATATAATATCATCTAATCTACAGAAACGGCTCAAAAGATAGAAACTTTATCCTCACCAACAAAAATAAATTAGAGAAACCAGTAAATATTACCCGGAAATAAGAGAGTCGAAAAGTAAGTGAAACTCTTTTCAATCCGCCATCTGTTAAAGATCTACAGAAGTCTAAAGATCTGAACTTTTGCTAATTTTTTCCTCTTATTTAGGGGAAAAAACGGATGTCTCTTCTGTTCAGATTGAGTTGCAGGGTGAGGGGTAGAGCTGTGGCGGAGGCGGAGGCGGAATCGGAGGAGGAGGAGGAGAGTTGGGGTGTGAGAGTTTCTAGGGTTTATCAAAATAAACCACTGAAAGAGAAGTGTAACTACTAGCAGGCAAGTGTGGACCGTTGGATTAAAAAATCAGGCGGTTAAGATTTTAGTGATGACGCCCCAGAAAAAGGTTGGATGGACCCAGGTATAGGTGTAGGTGGACGTTTCAGCTTCCCCCTCTTCTTCTTTCTTACATAGAGAAACAAAGACCAATAAGTGCTGATATTTTAGGATTCAATACTTTCTTTGGCCTATACAAATATATATATATAACAAAATGACCAAATTGTCCCGACGCGCCAAATGATATTTGGGATTAAACCTTTAGGTGGTTGAGGAGATTAGAGTCTTCTTATGAAAGGGAAACCGATGTTTTCTTTTATTTTAAAATTGGTCGTGCCCAATCCAAAAAAGAAAAACGAAAAAAAAAAAGAGCAGAGAGAGAGAGAGAGAGAGAGACTGGGCGGGAGGGAGGGAGAGCGCGCAATCGGTTACGGAGTCAGTAGTGGAAAAGGCGGCAACAATTTCTCCGCCTAAATAGGATATTTTAAAATATTTTTTCAGCCAAAAGGATAGAGTTGGCGAAAATTCATTGTATTGGTTCTTTTCTTGAAATGAATTAAAATCTACACCGGGGAGGAACATATTATATTACATTATCCGGGAATTCAGGATCACGAAATAAAACACAAAATAATCAAAAAGCAAAGGCACACCCAACATAGACAAGAAAGGAAAAATTTTTGCAAAAAAATAAAAGTAATTTACAAAAAATTTGGAAAAGGTTTGTACTACTATTTTCGATCTATGTTGTATACACTCACTTTCATTATTTCTCTTGCATTCGAATACCTCTTGGATTTGTTTATTTATTTTTTAAAAAAAAAATTAGAACTCGAACTCCACTTAACAGTATTCTAAATCATGACCTAACTAAAAATTTTACCCCTGCATTAGCACGGTCTTTTTTCTTATTTATTGTGAATTTATAAAAATATAAATAATTTAAATACAAAAATTAACAACAATCCTGCATATTCATCTATATTAACTTTAAAAAATTAATGTATTTTAAACGTCAACTATTTACTAATTTTCAAAAATTTGTTTACGTATTTTCTCTATAATATGATAATATATATCAAATCATGTACCCCATATCAAAAACTTGATAAATATTCTTTTTTTACAAATATTTTTTTAGATAATTTAAATTGTTATAATGATCATAAATTTAAAACTATACATTCATATTTAATTAAGTAGAAAAAATCCAGTAATTCATTTTTCTTCATCTATAAATATTCAATTTCCAACAATATTCATAAATCTATCGGTGATTCTCTTTTTCCAACAATTAGTTAATTCTCTTTTTGAATTAAGTTAATTCAAAATTCAGGGAAGAAATGATGAACAATTTGAATACTAATCAACAATATGATGATGAAAAGAAATAATTTGGTATAGGAAATAATTTGGGATATGTAAAATTTTAATAATTGTGTTTAAAAAAGGTTTTACTATAGTTCTATATGTAATAATTTGATAGAAAACAGAATCATCAAGATAAGATTAGTTGGTTGTAAAAGCAATATTATTAAGATAAGATTAGTTATATTAAAATTAAAGATAATTTTTAAACATATAATATAATCTAAATAGATATAATATAATCCAAATAGAATTTAATATGCGTAAAACCCAAGTGACCCATAACCCGTTAATTCTTTTCAATTAGATATGCCATATAAGAGTGAGCTACTTTTATTATGCAACATTAAATTAATTTGCCAGAAGTAAACCTACCCGCCTACCTACCCCAAAAATATGTGTATGTATGTGCGTGTATGTGTATATATATATATGAGGAAGTTCTACCACTGACTGCCATTCACAAATCATAATGCACAGAATAGTGTATGCATTAACACAATATATATAGCCACCAAAATAACAAATGTAAATATTATAACAACAACAACTTACAAAAACACAACAAATTCTACCACCAATACAAGTTGAATTCTGGTCTAGAGTTCATCCCATTCATCCAACTTAATAGATCAAATCAATTCCTACCACTAATACACTTCACAAATGTGAGCGTAGAGGGCCAAAGAAAGGCGAAGCTACAAAATTTCCAATTACCTTTTTACTTCACATACATCAAATCCCTATAGTATATTTTTTTGCCAAAACACTCCTAACAAATAGCAATCCGAACGGACCCATGCGAGTACAATATGAAAATGGTAAACTTTTAACGGTTATTGGCCAGGTTAAAAGAATGCAACACAGTGGAGTTACTAAGCTCGTCGGCTTGCCATTCCGTTTTATTTAGAACATCAAATAAGTGAATTGTAAGAGAAGACAGGTCTATGCGAATGTTACGAAATTTAAAGGGACATCCAAGAGGCATTTTGTTAATACACAATTTACGATGTAAATGCACAACTTGTATTTATTGTCCCCCCTTGCATTAAGACACTTAGATTTACTTTGCGTTCTTCTCAACCAATGCCATATTTACATTTTGAATAATTTGTATGCAAAAAAAAAAAAAAATTTATCTACATAAAAGACAATTCTTAAGAACTTGCATGCTCTCCTGATTAAACTTTAGCAGAAAGACCAGTAAAAATGCGAAAGCAATTTCAAACAAAGATAGAGAAATATGAAATCATCCACCTTGAACATTTACCATTGCTTCGGCAGGCATTGCTACTGCAATATACATATAGATCCCACTTCTTAAGAGGAACAACAGTCAATAGTTAAATTTAGTTCATGAATGCCTTACCTTTTGCTCACCATTTCCAATTACATTCTTCAGTCAAACTAACCGAACATGCTAACCTTTTGAGCAAACCTGGCCATGGACTTGGCTGGCATGCAACGTCAAATTTTATTTGTATAAGGTTAACCAATACGAGAATACCTACCAAAAGAGAAAAGTCAACCATGAAATATGATCTATCCCAATAAAAAAAAAGGTCTACAGTCAAATGAAATAATACTCAATTAGCCAGGCAGAACCTTATACAGGACTTTGAGAATCTTACGACTCTGTAATTCTTCTTCAAAGGAGCATGATACCATGATCACAATCTGGCCTCAGATATGCTGCTACTCTGAACATACATCTTCAGACTTCTCAAGAACCTGCTTCAAGAACCAAGGAAATGACTTACAACATGAATCCCATAAAATCTTGCATGCTATTAAGCACTTAAATAAACAAACTATGGCTTGCTTCAGAAGGCTGTAATCTTTAGTCTTTTTATGATAGTCATCCTCCTACTATGAGCGCTAGGAGAAAATTTTCGAGCATGATCCCAATTTAAACTGCATTTTTCATCCCAACATACTGTGCACTAGTCAATCTCCTTTTAGCATGAAATAAAGGTCAACAGACACACTCAAGGAATCCAAAAACTAAATTAATCACGCATTTAGAATATTAACACAATGGAAACAAATAACGTAAGAACTCAAGTTTTGACTTATAAAAAACTCTCCATACCTTAAGTAAGGCACATAACTTTGAGGCATTGTTATTTACTCCCAGAAAAAGACTTCTCCATACAGTTTTCTCACCCAGATCCTGCATTGACATTGAAAAGATCATGCCAACAAGCAGCTTAGGAACAGCCTCCTTAAAAAAAGTATTTGAGTTCTTTAATGCTATAAATCAAGCAGCTAGCATTCCCTCTATCATAGAAGGAAGACAATTATAAGTACTGCAAGTGGGGAATAACAACTAGGGGAACATTATCAGAATGTTTAAACATCTTTTGCTTCCTGAATCACTGAGAACTTAAATGACCTTGCGCTACCAACTGTATGCAGGATTAGACAAATTGACTGTATACTAAAGTTAAACTTCAAGTAGAGCTCCTCACGAGGAAAACGAGCCAAGAACTTTTGGACAGATTCATGCACACAAAATATAAATACTTGCTAAATTCAAAATATTCCAAGGCCTATGAACATATAAACTAAAAAGTTTGTATTTCAAAGTCAAAAAGTGGACTTTGAACAGAAATTCAAAGAGTGAGCCTTACAAGTAAATGCTTATTTGTATCTAGTTAAT